GCCTACTTCTATAGTCTACAATCTACACAACAGCCAGAGACACTCTTCAAAACCAAAACATGCTCTCTCCCTCCCGCGATCACTAGCCTCCCCGATCGCTGGCTTCCCATCTCACTTTTTGCAAAAATTAAATTCCGCAAGTGGTCTACAAAACCATCAGATAAATCTACCTGCCCCACCGAGTTTTCTCCTACTCACAGCGAATGATCCCCAACCATTCCAGCTAAGCAAAGCTCTTTGCTCCTCTGGGGGCTTGCTCTAGGGCTTACTCCAGGCTCATCGCTTCTATACCTCCTCCATGGCTCTACCTTAAAAGATCTTCCCCCAACTCTTGTCCCCAGATATCTGGCAAGGCTCACCTGCTGCTAAGGCCTTCACTTTCTTACTCTATGCCCCACTCCACCACCACAAAGAGATGTTTGTCTGGTTTTTTCCCCCATTACAGCCCCAGCTCTTGGACAACTGCCTGACACACAGTAAGAACTTAGTAATTATATGTGGAAAGACTGAGTGACCAAATACTTACGTTATGACATAATTTTATAGAACCATGAAATGGGTAGAATTTGAAAAAGTCTAGAATTAAAGCATGTGAAGATGGCTACCCTCTTCCACTGGGCACACTGGGCAGTAGTTCTTAGAGGAGGAGGAAGGAAGTTTGGGACAGCAAGGAGTCCAGCTGCCTAAAGAAGACCCGCCCACATTCCATGTTGTCATAAAAGTCAGTGTTTACAGACCTCTGTGGGGCCCATCAATGCCCCAAGGCAGGTTCACTCAAAGCCGCTGTCACTAGTTCCAATTCTCAATATTGCTACACATCAAAAGGACATTTCCAAGGTCTTTCAAACATCAGAGGCCTGAACTTCTACATTATGGTTAATGTAATTAACATAATTTCAGTTATGCCAATTTCAGTTAAGCACATAAATCATGCCCATGTTTCAGAACCCATTACAAAACGATACTCGCGAAAATGCTCCTGAAATGAGGAAGAATGCTTCATATGCCACAAAGCTCCATCGTTACTTTACTTAATGTTAAAGAGAGTAGCACCTAGCTATAAAGCAGACACTGCTCTGTGGGGTTTACAGGGAACGACCCACGTGGTCCTCCAATGAAGCGAGTACTATTAATTTCAGTTTACAGGTAGAGAGTTAAAGAACCCCTCTGGGGCCATACTGCTAAATGAGCTAGAGAGCTGGGATATGAACCCAGGCAGGTTGGCCCCCAGCCCGGGGTTTCAGAGCCTATTCACCATGACACACTGCCCCTTGGTTCTGCCCAATTCCAATGGTCTGCAAATGGGGTCAATAAAACAAGACCTTACATGATGAATGCCATACCTTTGTCCACGGAAGACATAAAATACCTGGAATGTCAACTGGAGTTAAGAGTTTCAATAAGAAAATATCATCTGACATTAATAGTTATCAAATATTGATGAAAACCTGAGATAAAGCAAGTAAGTTTTTCTCAAAAAGTCAGGGCAGGGCTGCCTGGGTGGCTCAGTGGGTTAAGCCTCTACCTTCAGCTCAGGTCATGATCTCAGGGTCCTGGAATAAGTCCCACATCAGGCTCTCTGCTCAGCAGGGAGCCTGCTCTCTCCAAGCTCACCCCCCCACCTACTTGTGATATCTGTCAAATAAATAAATAAAATCTTTAAAAAAAAAAAAAAAAAAGGTCAAAAGAGGGTGTGCCTGGGTGGTTCAGTAGATTAAGCAGCTGTTTTCAGCTCAGGTCATGATCCCATGGTCGGTCCTGGGATCCAGCAGCACGTCAGGCTCCCTGCTGGGTGGGGAGCCTGCTTCTCCCTCTCCTTCTCTCTCCCGGCTTGTGCTCTTACTCTCTCTGTCAAATAAATAAATAAAATCTTTAAAAAAAAAAAAATCAAAGGAGGGGCCCCTCAGCAGGGAGCCTGCTTTCCCCTCTTTCTCTGCCTACCTGTGATCTCTCTCTCTCTCTCTCTCTCTCTCTGTCAAATAAATATTTTTTTTAAAAAAGTCAAAGGAGAATAATAAAAGTAGACAAAATGCAGTTTTAAAAACTGCTTTGCTAAAGCAAACAGTAAGAAACCTGCTTGAAAATTAACAAATAAATACTCATAAATACAGCTAGTCATAAAAAGTGGCTTCCTTTGGAAATATCTGTGTGTAAGTCAGTCAGAACAACTAATGTTAGCATATTTCTTCAAATCCTAATGTTTTAAGGAAGAAATAGAACAAAAAACTGAAAACAGGATTCTGTAAATATTTGAGAGACTCTAACCAGGAGGAGGTGGAATTCCTTAATCAGTCATCCAGTGAATGTATCCTGATAAAGAGGGATAATGGAACGGAATGGAATGGAAGGAATTTTAGACTAAGAGATTACTTACAAAAATACTAATTCCCTACTACCCCAGCTTCTCCAAAGACCAAAATAAAAGTAAAAAAGACTTGATTAGGCAAAGCTAAAAATCAAACACATTCTATAAATATCCTAAATCATATACATAGCCCTTTATACTTTTCAAGTGACATGTATGAGTTCATCTTATTGAACAAAACATTCGATTAAATAGTTCAAAGTGCCTGTTATTTGGAAAAGACATAATCTTGCAACAAGCCAAATTAGACTCCCAAGCTCCCTTCACCAACTGTTGAATGGGTGGGAGAGAACAGAGTCTACCTTGGCCTCTTTTTGAGTTTTGTTTGCTTTGGTTTGGTTTGCATTTGAAGAGCTTTTTAAAATAGGCATCAACCATCAACCCTGCCCCTCAGAGCAGCTTCCCAGTGCTTAAAGCACCAGGTGACCAATCTGATCAGAGTGAAACCCCTGTGGGCCTGGGTCCCCTTTTTCAGGGGTCACTCCTGACCCCATCCCATCCTTGAATTGCTCCCTGCCTCCATCCAACCCCCTCCTCCTCCACTAGTAGTATCTCAACCTTTCCAGGCCCAAAATAACACTGAGCTAAATTATTCCATACCTAATGATAAATTCCATTAAAGACTGTCCCTTCCCCCTCCTTCCTGCCTTTCCTCCCAGCCCTCAAACCAGGCCTCCCATCTTCTTCAGCCAATATAAAGAACTGGCTGGCTGGCTCAGTAGTGTTTGTGACTCTTGATTTCAGGGTTGTGAATTCAAGCTCCACACTGGGCATGGAGACTACTAAAGAAGAAAAAGAAGAAAAAGAAAAAAAAGTCACCACAAATCTAATTCAGTGGTGAAGGTTTGGGGCCAGTATGGACAAGCAATATGGCAGTCCACAGGGGAAGAAGGTGGGAACTGACCTGGTGCTGTGGCCCCAGGGGGAGCACTCACAGCACCTTCAATGCTACCCCGCTGCCTTAGCACCTCCAGATTCTGCTTCAGCATAGTCTGAGAGTACTCTGTACTGTCTTTGTCCTCTCAACCCACTCAACTACAGACCACAACAACAGACTGCAAAACTCCAAATATAGAATAAAGCCTCCAGAACTGAATATGCAGTCCCCTGGCAAAGGCTTAGAACCATGGGCCTTGCAACGCCCTAATAATTCCTGGGGCTTGAGGACTCAAGGGGAAAATGAGAGGTTTGGACTCTATGTCCCGAAGTTTCTTCCTACTCTCAAAACCAAGATCCAAAATTTGGCTCAAATACCCAGGCCACTCCAGAGTAAAGTCAATGCAGAATGAACTAGGTTTGTACTATTCTGGCAATTATGACTCTGATGTGGACTCCCGGTTAGAGAAGACACAAGGCTGGTGTTACAGGCTGCTTACTGCTAAAAGATCACTAATACTCTGGTGAACCACAGAAAAAAATGAAAGTACTCAATGATCTCACACAAAACACTAAAAGTGACAGAAAATAAAATGGGAACACATCTAACGCACAAGTAGCAATTCCCTTTTATCTCCAAAAATGAATTCAGTCAATGGAATACATACTGTGGCAGCTATGTGAGGAAAAATTCTGGCCAGCCGGAGAATCTAATAGAGTACTACAGCCATTCCTTTGATTTTTATTCCCCTCCCCCACTTCTGAGGGTTTTTAAACAAATGAAAGAAGGCATTATTTCAGCTGGAGGCATAAGCATAAGTCATATAAGAACAAAGAAGGTTTTATTATCACACTTAACATCAAGGAGGAAATATGCTTACCGACAACTAACTGAGGTTATGCTCCATTATTAGGTTAAGCATTCACTTTTTGCAAGCTTCTAAGCCAATATTTACTATTTATATCTAAGTCTGGAGGTAAAAATGTTCAGCTAGGAAGAAGGTCATTAAGAAGAAAAAAAAAAGCCCTTGAAAAATCAGAACAAAGTACACAGAGAGAAAGGTACTCTTTTTTGCTTCAGTGGTCTATAGAACACCTGCCCTTCTGCGTCTAAAGTGAGTCAACATTAACCACATTTCACTCTGGCCCCAGCGAACTACCTCCTGATTGAAACAAACAAACAAACAAACAAAACAAAAAACCCTCCTTTTTGAAAGCTCTGCCCCATGCTCACACATACACCAAAGAATGTGAAACACACTGCCACAGGCCAGTGTCTTGGGCTTTATGCCTAAGAAGTTTGCTTTCAGCGAGAAGGGGGGGGGGGGGACCCGCACTCTAAGAACAGACTCTACAATGAACAGCCTCGTTACTTGTTGGCACACTTCCCCAACTAGCAATTCCAACGGCTGTGCCTTGAGCCCATTCAAGAATTCCATGTCATACAAGTGTTTCAAACACAGTCCTTTGATCTTTCAACATCTGCAAATGCACCTGCTAAGCAGCAAGCCTGAGAGCCATAGCCCCGGTTCCTTCCCATCCATCTTCACCAGGAGTCATAGGGGCTACTTGAGGCGTGGACTAGAGAGACGCAAAGTACACAAACCCCCCCCGGGCCAAACACTTCTTCCGCAGCAGGATGTTAGGCTCGAAGTGCGAAGCCTTTCCGTTCTCCCGGCACCAACTTCCCTGTCACTTTTTTCCTGGAGCAGGTAGGAGGTTTTGTTTTGCACCGGAGCTTTCCAACGCCAGGGCTTACCTTGCGGTGGCTTCCTCCCCTCCCTGGCCATGGTCCCCCCCCACGGCCTGGTCCTTGCCGCTGGGGTGGTAGGCAGTGAGGACAACTCCCTGGGAACTGGAGAGCCAGTTCATGGTGACAGAAGGGGCATAATTTCTGCGATCCTGACACTGAGACGGGGAATGAAGTTCCTCCGGGCTGCTCCGCTCATTAGCATTGGCCGGCTCCGCCTCCCGAGGCCGGTGACTGGCAGGGGAGGGGCGGGGCCTCGCCGGCGAAGGGCGGGCTGGCTGGCTCTCCAATGAGAGGAGCTGTGACTCAGAGTATTGTTTCAACCCGGGGCAATTCCAGTCCCGGCGGCTTTAGTTGAGGAAGGGTGGGGGCGCGGTTGGGCCGCGGTGGGGGGGTTATTGAATTCGCCCCCAGCCCTGAATCATTCCGATGAAACTCCCTGGTTGTGGACTCCGCTCATCGATGCAAGTACAAGCCTTCTTGGTCAGACAACAATGAGTTACTACAGAGCCATCCGCCCCCTCTTCCCAATTTCTGTTTCCATCTGATAATTTCTGCCAGTTCATGTAACATGAGTAAGGGCATTTCTTAACCCCTTCACGTTCAGGGGTTCAAAATGAACCAAAGCAAAAACCAATGAGCCGGGAGCAGAAGTGTGCAATACCGGTAACAAGCAACGCTTTACCTCTGCGTCTGGTTTAAAATGTCCACGTGGAATGATTGAGGATCCTGGAATGTCATCTTCTTTCACATAAAAAGCCAATGCCAACTTTACCCCTTGCTTTTGTCAAAAGACCCTTCAAAGCTAGGAAGAAACATCTACCAATACTGTTAAATGTTAGGGCTGAGAATAGCAGCCGTTCTTACCATTTGTTGAGCACCTACCATATGCCAGGCCCTCTCTGACACGTGATTCACGAGTCCTATCCCTTCAATTCATTTCAACTCTCTCTCTCTCTCACTCACACACACACACACACACACACACACACACACACACACACCCTACACACCCTATCACCTAAGAAAAGTAAAGCTGAGGGGTCAGGTTAAGTAAGTTCTCTTGGCTAAGAAAACACGTTTGTTCTGTGCCACAGGCTGTCTTTGAACAGAACTCTAGACTAAATTCCCTTCTTTTTAACCAGCATGCTGTTCTTTATCTTGTAGATTAGGAAACAAGCTCAAAAGTTATGAAACATACAAGGGATGTTCCTGTTCTTTCTCCCCCTCGAAAATATGGCTACTCTCTTCTCTATACCCAGGAGCCTGAACTAGATTGTTGTTGATCTTGATGATCTCTTAGTGTATCTAAGATTTCCTCATAAGCAAGTTCTCAACATCATCATTCCATAAATGTTCTGTTTACACTTTTTTCATTATTTAAAATCATCGTGAGAAATAAGTACTTTATTCGTACTTATACAGTCTTAAAGTATTAAAAAAAAATTTTTTAAACCCTCACTTCCCGGTCTACAGTGAACTCTTACTTACAGAAGTCTTCCTAAAAAGGGGGGGAGGGGGGAGACAAAGTATATCTGCATCCCTCCCCCTCCACAACCTTTGCATTTCCACCTCCAAAGGCTCTACCTGCGGTCTTTTTTCTGTCTTCATTGCCTGAGTCCCTTCTGGGCCCTTATAGTTAGGTCTTAGATCTAATATTACAACAGCCCTTTTAGCAACTACTTTGCCTTCTCTTCTAAATTATTTTGCACATTACAGTTGACCCTTGAATGATATGGATCTGAACGGCAAAGATCTACCTATAAGTGAAATCTTTTCTATAAATACAGTAAATGTATTTTCTTTCTTGTGAATTTTTTAGTCTTTTTTTATTCAAATAGAGTTGGCTCTTCCCTATGATTTTTTTTTTTTTTTTTTTTTTTTTAGAGAGAAAGCAAGTGAGTGAGAGTGAGAGTGAGCAAGAGTGCGGGTGGGGGGCAGAAGGAGAAGGAAATGAACACTCTTAAGCAGGCTCCACAACCAGAGCAGAGCCCAGCATGGGGCTTGATTTCATGACACTGAGATCATAACCTAAGCTGAAACCAAGAGATGGATGCTTAACTGACTGACCCATGCAGGTGCCCTTTCCTCATAATTCTCTTAATTTTATTTTCCCTGGCTTACTTTATTGTAAGAATATAGTATATAATGCATAGAACATAAAGTATGTGTTAATCAACTATGTTATTGGTAAGGATCCAAGTCAACAGTAAACTCGTAGTAGTTACGTTTTAGAGGAGTCAAAGTTATATGGGAGTCTCTGATTGCAAGGATGAGGGTATGGGATCAGTGCCCCTAACGGCCACCCACCCCCCATTGTTCAAGGCTCAACTGTATTATCACAGTGGTGTGATAGTGGTGTGATAATGGTGTCTCTCCTTGCTTAAGAGCTTTCACTGGCTCCCCTTGGCTAACAGAACCAGTTCCAAACTTTTTGAGCACACCGCTGAACATTCTTGCTACCTTATCCATATACATACGTTCCCATCTCATCTGTCTGACATCATTACCTCTGTTCCCACTGTCATTTTTTTTCTCTTCCACACCTAACAGAATCCTTCCACATAGTAGGCCTTTTTTTTTTTTTTAAGATTTTATTCATTTATTTGACAGTGAGAGAGATCACAAGTAGGCAGAGAGAGAAGGGGAAGCAGACTCCCTGCTGGACAGAGAGCCCAATGTGGGGCTCAATACCAGGACCCTGAGACCATGACCTGAGCTGAAGGCAGCAGCTTAAGCCACTGGGCCACCCAGGTGCCCCATAGTAGGTCTTTAATGAATGTTGACTGAATAAAAAATTGAATTTCTTGTGTCCTTAAGAAGATTACTGGGACTCCTTGGTGGCTTAGTTGGTTGAGCATCTGACTCTTGGTTTAAGCTCAGATCATGGTCTCAGGGTTGTGGGACTGAACCATGCACAGGGCTCCGACATAGTGGAAAGTCCGCTTTGAATTCTCTCTTTCTCACCCTCTTCCTCTGCCCCTCCCCAGATGCTCACTTGCTCTCACTCTCTCAAAATTTTTTTTAAAAAGAAAGATTACTAAACATTTTAGTCAAAATTGGTAATACTGAGGCACCTGGGTGCCTCAGTCAGTTAAGCATCCAACTCTTGATCTCAGCTCAGGTCTTGATCTCTGGGTCATGAGTTCAAGCCCTATGTTGGTCTTCACACTGAGTGTGGAGCCTAGTTGAAAAAATGGTAATATTAAACAGTTGATTGGGAATACTAAACAGAGTGAACCTATGATGAAATATTGAAGAGTTAAGGCAAAAAGAAAACTGCAGGAAGAGAGGTGAAAGGTAAGTCAATTAGAACATATGAGTTTTGTTTTTTTAATGTCTTTATGTATGTAAAATATAACATGAAATATAATAATGATTAAAAAAAGAATGGTGACTGTGGGGGTATTAATCTGTCTTCCCTCAAATACAAAAATGGACAAATCATCACCTTCTACAATTACTGGTAGTAGGCCGTACATTCTATCTTTAGAAATAATTTTCTTATCTGTTTTTCTTGCCACCCCACTCCTTCCTTGTCCTTAATTCCCTGGACCTCCTTTTTATATTCTTCCTTTATTTTTTCTATTTTTCTTTCTTCCTTTGCTATATCATCAAGCTGTCAGTCACACATACTCACTGATAGCCATGAGCATTAACATTTCTCAAGAAACAATTCATGATAGAATCTTTGCCCAGTTTTAACCAAAATGATGATTAAGTTGTGTCTTTGTCTAATAACATTCTCTTCACAGGTTTAATTACAAATAAATCACAATATGCACATTAACATATAACTATTTCATAAGTTCAGAAGAATACTTGGGTTACTAATAACCATGGCTTTTTAAATTTTTATGAGGCAGAAAACGTGGCACAAGCTGATTTACATAGTTTTGTGCATAAGATTTAATCCTATTAATTTAGCTGCCAGGTACATATAAATCCTCTTGGCTCTTTTTTTCATCCCACTAAGCCCTGTCATTACTATTCTAAGGATATTGCTCGTCACATGCAGACAGTGGTAGGGTTGTGCGTGTGCGCGCACACACAAAAACACACACACAAACACGCATACCATGCCCTAGTGCACATGGCCTCAAATACAGGCTCAAGTAGATAAAAAATGATTTTCAGATTTTCTTATGACCATCACAGAAGCAAAACTCACTACCAATATGTCCCCTTGAAAATGCTTTTCTTATTTCATATCTTAAGCCCTTCCAAGTTTTAACCAGAGTCCTCCCGTATACCCCATTACCCTTCCTGCTAGAAGCAGATTTTATGGGAAAAAAAAAAATACTATTTTCCTCCCTTCCGCAATCACTTTAAACAAACACTGAGAACCTCATGTCCTTGAAGATGTTAATATTCCAGGCTATTGATTGCATGCCAAACACTTTCCTGTTATGAAACATCTTCCCAAGTAATTAATAACATCAAGACAGTTTAAACATTCATTTTCATTCATTCTCTTTAAATGGGACATACTAGATGGCATAAGGAGGAAGAAGGAAGCTGTGACTTTTCAAACCAAATAGGTTGTTAAAAATAGGGTAGAGATAGTACCGTAGCCTCTGACAATTTCACAGTTATGTTAAAAAATAATGGGAAGAAAAGTTATTATATTCAGTGATTGTAATATGAAAAAGTTTACTAACTGGTTTTCATATTTTGATTTAGGGACATTTTTAGTAGTATGGAATTAAAACTGAAATAGAATCAACATATTTGGGACACCTGGGTGGCTCAGTCAGTTAATCAGCTGCCTTCAGCTAGGGTCATGATCCCAGGGTCCTGGAATCGAGTCCTGCATTGGTCTACTTTCTTGGCGGGGAGTCTACTTCTTTCTCTCCCTCTGCCTGCCACTCTGCCTGCTTGTGCTCTCTCTGTTTGTCAAATAAATAAATAAAAATTTTTAAAAGATTTTTAAAAAGAATCAACATATTTATCAAAATTTTCTCAGTCATTTCTATTGCTTTAAATGGAATTAACTTAGGAGAATGTGTACCCTCAAACACTGTCAGATTACTGAAAGCCTATAAACAGACATAAGGCCACGTAAAAACTGACCTTTCAATTGGCCAAGTAAAACTCAATTTACAATAATATAATAAGAACTTGGATAAATTAATCAACTGTGAAGTTAAAGTTTTATGTAAGTGATAAAAATCAGATTTACACGCTAGCACAGACTAATTAAGAGAGTGTTCCA